TATTGAAATATTTATCCCTAACAATAGTACGCCTTTTTTATATGGTTACTGAGTGATCACCTTCAACCCAGTGTGACTAATAAGCCGGTGATTATTGCTAATTGAGGTATCTCATTATTACTTACTTATTAGCAGCCTTAGTGGACCACATAACTGCTGATATGTTGATTTAAAAAAAAGTCCAATAACATGGCAGAACATTAGTCAACCTCTGACGTAAAAATGTGTGTCAGCCTGTTAAAATGTTGCTGTGCTGTGTTGCAGATCTGTGCACGAGCGCCCCTCAGACAGCAGAGGAGCTGGAGAGCAGGAACAAGTTGCTGCGTTTGCTGGACTCGGTGATCGATGCTCTGGTCTGGGCCATTTCCAAAATGGGCCTGTCGACCCAGCAGCAGACTCTGCGCCTCGGACACCTCACCATGCTGCTCTCCCACATCCGCCACGTCAGGTACAGCCAGAGACGGCAGGAAACCGTGAAACCGCAGCCCAATCCAAAAAGGGACTGGAAAAAAGAGACATTTCTATATAAGCCAACTTTATGTCTGTCTTCTTTATTTGTTAGCTCTCCCAAATGTTCGCATACATTAATGTGATCAACAGATATGTGAGCATCACATATCAATAAGCACATATAGATGATTGGATTTACAGCTTTTGATCTTTCAAGTGAATATGTTTGAGACTTTTCTTGTTTTAGTTGGTATAACATGTAATTTCAGCCTCATTGTTGTCCTCCCTCTCTGCAGTAACAAAGGCATGGACCATCTGTCCACCATGAAGAGGAAGAACGTGGTGCTGGTGTACGACCTCCTCCTGGAGATGCTGGACGCCAACACGTCCAGTAGCAGCAGTCAGCCGTCGTCCTCGCCGAGCTCCGACACTTACTCTGACCAGCAGCAACAGCCGCAACCTCCGTCTCACCTGCAGCCGGGCTCACACCAGACCACCGCCGACCACAGCACTGTGCCTCCGCACGGCCCCTGCGTAGACCAGATCCTGGACGGACACCTGCAGGCTCTGCCCCTCCAGTCCTCGCCGCCATTCCAGAGTTTAGAGGTGCCTCACATGGATAGCAATGAGTGAGTTGCATTCTTTTAGTTAATTCAAAATAGTAATACCACAAAGGGACATTTTATTACCAGTAAGAGCACTGCATTCAGAGTTTTACTTGATTACGTGTTAAAAGTATTCATTTATTTTCTCAGGAAAGTCTCTTAGATAAGAAGAGGAGTAGAATTTTGGTTGGTGTGAGTTTTTTTTCTATCTTCTTAGGTTAAAAAAAGAAGATGAGAACTGAACGGACAGTTGTGTGGCTGTAAGAAAAGGGATTGTAGGAAGGAAATAGACACCAGGGCAGATGGAAGGAGGAGAGAAAAAGGTGAAGAATAGTAAAAAGGGATGAAAGAATATAAGAAAAAGAATGAAAAGGAAGGTAGGAGGGAAATGACCCTGCAAAGACCATGCAGACTTGACTTGAGAAAGTCAAATTGAGAACGTGGTGTCTATGTTTCTATATCTGTGGTCGAAACCTGCGGTGAAATATTTTGCATGAGGTACAAACAACGTACAAATGATGCGCTATTCGTTCAAAAGAATTTGAATAAATTATCTATAGACACATGGTACAAATCTATGACACCACTCAGAACAACATAAAAACTATACTAAAGGATAAGACTAAGGCTCTTACCGCATATAAATCTTTCTCTCTTTTGGGTGATGGAATTTTTACAAGCTTCTGGTGGAAAGCTAACGTTAGCAAGTGAGCCCGCGGATTCGTTGTTGGTGTAGAGTTCGACAGAAGTATGCTGGGACTCGCTAGTGTCCTCCATTTTAGTAGTAAACAACACAACATTACTAGCCTAGTTTACTGACAGGTCGATAGGTCAGGTCATTCTGATAGTAGAGCCCCCTAGTTTCCCTAGTTTATGCAACTAGGTGTTGTTCCTCTAAAACAGTACTTAAATGTACTCATTTACTTCCTCTGGTAAACGACTGTAATAATTTTCCTCACAGTTACATCCCTCCGGAGCAGTGGTCACTGGAAGCGGGAGATGCCGGTCCATTGGTGGAACCAGCAAACTACGTCATCCCAGATCGAGTTGTCATGGAAACTGCCTTAGTGTAACGGGACTGTAAGGGACAAACTGAGACTGGACCTTAATGGCTTTCCATCCCCCAAAGATCAAGAAGAGGAAACAAAAATGGATTTAAAAAAAACAAAAAAAAGTGCTATTGTGAGGTAACGTTTTTTTTGTTCTCTTGAGATGTTTTTAGTCTTTGAAAAATAATGTTTTGGATCGAATGTACATTTTGTGTGCGTTAATATTTCTTGTGAATGTGCACTACAGTAGGTGTTCATAAGAACATCGCTGAAACCTTTGCCAGTCAGTTTGAGCTTTTTTGATATACAGTATTTGTATCTCCTTTTTCCACCTCGGTGTAACATCCAGAACAAGCCGTCTACAAACCGTCTGCAGTGACTTACAGAAACCTGGTGCATGTTGTCAACAGTTAGCATCAATTCCCATAAGCATCACTAGTCTTATAGCTAAAAAAAAAAGGGCAGTGTTTTCTACTGCACTGTGGTGTTTTTCTCCTTCACTATGACTGTGTACTTTGGTGTTTTAATCAGTGACTGTTCATCCAGGATTTTTCTACTCTCTTTGTACAAACTACACGTGTCAGTGGAGTCAAGAAAAAGCAGGTTGTGGCCTTTTAACAAAAATGACTGTTAGCAGAAGCTTTCTACTCTCTTCGTGTGGTTAAATAAGGCTGAATTTACACAATATGATATGTGGCACAGATATAAGTTCTTAGGTACACCAGAAAAGAAACCTGAAAAAGTTAAATCAATGTATTGTAATTGATGACAGGATAGCTCTAAAACTGACTGCCTAAGCTCTTAAAGTTATCATGTAAATATAATAACTTGCTAACTATACATATGTTCTAATTCTAACATGCAAAAAAGACATGCTAATTGTATACATTCTGACCTGCTAACTTCTCTATGTAAGCCATATTTTAACAATGTATCAAGCTAATGTGCCAAACTAAATGTTAGCATGTTTTTAATTACTAGCAAAACATTAAAATGTAACCTTATGTGTTACTATGTATACTTGATGTGATTGTGACACTTTTAAAAAGTAACAAATTAAGTCATGTCAACCTCAGCTGTACTTTAACACTAAAGATAACAGGCTAATGCTAGCATATTATTACGCCAAATCACATACAAAGACATACAAAGATTAGTATGTCAACATGCTAACTTGACCACATTTGTGATGTGGAAAGCTAACCTGTTGCATACTGTTAATGTGCACAATTTGAGTTCATTGAGTTCAGTTTGACCTTCGAATGAGCTCGGAAAAACCGAGTAAGGGGACTTTGAGTTGTCGCACAATATGTATTAATTTAGCATCGATGACAGTTCCGTCCAGGTCATTAAACTGAATGACTGAATTGCTTTGCCTTAACTGGACAAGACTAAAGCTAACATACCAAATGCTTCCATTCTAACCCTATGCATTTTAAGATGCTAACAAGCTAAAAAAATAACATAATAAACATTAGTAATATGTATGCATATTGACGTTCTCACATAAGCAATGTAACAAGCATCCCAACATTCTTGGCACCAGCATAAGAGATAAAAACTGTAGTTTAACAGGATGCACATCCATCTCGTGCAATATAAATGTACGCTAAATATGAAAATGTTAACATGCTAATTGTTTGCATGTTGATAACTCACATCAGTAGGAAGTTAACACTGTAGCAGTTGAACTACACTCAAATTAATTAAAAAGTGAAAAAATGTAGTCCTGTTTTACTTGCTGCACATTTACAGATACAGATAAATGTATATACTTAAGTTCATAATTGTAACAATGACAGATTTTATGTTAGCTTTAGCTGTAGTAGTGAAGCTGACCGTGATTACACGTTAAAATGCTAATATCGGTGTATATAAATAACCTGCCAAATACATTTGTAGCCTTTTCTGAACTGTTTTAATGTTTGTTATACTGTAATCAAAGCAAAATGGCAAAACATAGTCCAGGTTAACTTAGTGCACTTATATGTAGTGATTTTAGCAGATATTCAGTTTGCAACAGTTTCAGGATCTTTATGTACTTTTTATCTAAAAATTATTAAAGAAACATAGAAAACAGGATTCTCTGTACAATAATAATTTTGTTAAACTACTGACTTAGTACACAGCGTATGCAGTTTAAATACTATATTAAAGTATAGTAGGCTACCCCAGAAATTGCACATAATGGAATCATCACTGTCCTTTGCTATAATTTATGCACTTTCCTTCCTGAATGGATAACACATGAAGATAAATCTGAATATGAGAATCAGTCCAGAACTCACTTGTTTTGTTATTCTTGGCTTCACAGGCATGAGAAACTGTTTGCTTCAAGTCCTTTAACTATTTGTCTTTTTACACATTTAAAGCCTCGTGTTTTGGACTCGTTTGCTTTGGTGTTTTTGATTTAAGCTCTCATTAATCACTCTGCTGTTCTCTTCCGAGAGAACAGTGGTGGGAACAGTCGGTACCATCCAAGTTCAAATTGCTTTGTTTTGATCCGGCCAAACAAACTGAAACAGTAAATGCTTCAGAAATTTGGATAAGCTTCCCAAAAACGCATCATTTAGGTCCTTTTTGGACGTGCGGTCATGAGCTGTGCCACTTTCCTGCCTATGTAAATTCAGCCTTGGTGTCAGATTATTCTACCACTGCAAATAGACAGATACATGTTCACTGTCCTTTCTTTCTCTGCTGTCTGTGGCTTGTACATGCATGCAAACACACACACACACACACACAAATCTGATGCTGAAAATATTTCTCTGCGGTTTTTGCAAACATGCACATTCATATCTCAGATCTCGTTAAAGTCAAATCTGTTAGTCCTAGCGATACAGTTACACAAACAGCCTCAAATCATGGCAAACATGGTTTATTGTCAATCAAAAATGGCAATCTATACATCCCATAAATAAGAGTTCACAAAATAAATCCAACTTTACACACTTTTTGTTGTTTGTTTCTGTTCTGCTGGTGTGTGAGGAGATTATGTACAAATTGGTATCAAACACTGAGTTTCAAATCAAATTATACACTCTCTTTAACATTTAGGATCAAAAATATTAACATTGTAAATTAAGTACATTTAATTATCTTTGATTGTGCATGTACACAGCTACATTCAGTGCCCAAAGGATCACTTACATTCATGTTCTACTCAGTCTGGCTTGTTAGATTTTGACACCAGTCTGAAGGACTGCACGACTGAAGAGTGTTTTTAAAGCAGCGTTCAGGTAAATCCCACATTACAGTATTTAAACAACAAACTTTATTTTTTAAAAACCATTCTTTGTTTTAACCTGTTTGATTCCTGCAGGACTGTACTCCATGGGACCAACTGGAACAGCGTTGGGCAAGTAATTATTCTTAAAGGAGTATAGTTCAGATTAATTTTGCATTAAAAAAAGACACTGCCACATTATTACCTTGTTTAACAGCTAGATGGCAGTGTGATATGTGTTTGCTGCTGTTAATCCCTTGACACAAGACTCCCAGAGCTAATATTGCTGTTACCATATCTCAAAAAGAAACCCTTAAAACTTAATTAAGCGATAATTTGATATGAATCAAATCTGAAAAGGGTTGCTCATAATACCAAGCACACTGAGAATCAACTCCTAACTCAGTAGCAGAAGTAGTAGTACAGAACCTTCAGCCTCTTTTTAGCTTAGCGTTTTGAATATACTGCTGCATATAGATTCAATGGTTCAAACTCACAACATTTGTCATAGCAAGCAGTTTCCATAAAACAAAATCGACAACAAAAGTTTAGCTACATGTCCAGCACCAAAACGCAGATGGACAAAGTTAGCTAATAGCCAGTCAAGGAAGTGAAACATCTAGCTTAAGAGCCAGATACTGTGTTTGCTGGATGTGCAAGTAGGCAGTTTGTATGCTACTACATTAGCTAAAAGCAGTTGATTAGATGCATTTTTGTTAGTGCGTTTGAGGCTTTCTGCCACCTAGTGGTAAAGAATCGCCTAATGCAGCTTTAATTTGAGGATCAGTGCCTTTTTTTTGGTTCAGTGATTTGCTAAAATATTTAAGGATGACCTCCAAAAACACTGACCGTAAATTTTACATAACCATAGGAAAATGTCATTTTATTTCATCGGCTCTCACGAAAAGGGAATACTAAAAGTCACTGTAACAACCGCGTATAACTCTGAATGCCACAAATATACAATATAAAAGCATTTCAAACTATTGCCCCATGTTAAATAACTTTGACAGGTTTCAGTTCCACACTCACACCCAGAAACAATAATTTACCTATTTCTCTCTCAGTAGTTTGCCCTTAAATACAAAATTCATCACCATTAAAGGTACATTATCTGATAATTATGGTTGTTCTGTTGGCTACAGAAAGGAAAGGCAGGTCTGCATGAGTTACTGCCATCATTTTAAAAAAAGTAATATCTTACATGTTTTAAATACCTCTAAATCAAACAACAAAATCAAAACAACACACCTCTCTGTACAAAATGTGCTATCAACAAGTGGCTGCCTTCTATGAAAAACAGTACAAATAGCTGCAGTGGTTGAAAATGACTACTCCTCGATTTCTGGGCGCTTTGGTAATAAAAGTCTTTTATCCTTCAAATTAGATCCAACGGACTGTAGTGAAAGTACAAAAATGAAAATATACTGTTGGTATTAAAATAAATCTTGAGACATTTTTTTTGTCTTTGCACCGTATATTGAAATGTTCAGTGGGGACGTCAGATAGCAAATCTACATATAAGAAAAAGACAAAACTTTAAAACAAACCAGTGATATGGCTTCTTCTTTTTTTTTTTTTTAACTGTTATAACAACAAATAATAAATACATTTTTAAATACACCAATAAAATTTAGTGAAAAAACACAAGATGAGGCCTTCGGACATGAAGGGTGGTGCTTCTTTCTTTTGTGGAAGGGTGAAGGTGCCTTTGACACTGTTAACGGGTCCATTTTGGATTCCAGCCTCGGGTTTTTCAGTCCTCCAACTCATAGACGAATGCCACCGCTGGGCGTCATGGCAGTGTTCATGTGGGGGGAGGGCCGTTGGTGTAGCGCAGCATGGGGTAGAAGGAGCGGGCGAAGTTGTTGGACAGTGTACAGCTGTAGTCCTCTTCGGACAGAGGCACCAGGCAGGCCAGAACCAGCAGCATGAAGAAGAGCAGGTGTAGGGGGAAGGCAGCTCGTAGAACCCGGTAGAAGAGCGGTCGGCGTGGGGAACAATCCCTCCTCTCGTCCCTGGATGAGGACAGATGTTACAGATCATTAGGGTGGAAGTTTATTTTTAACTTTGCAGCTGTAGTTTCATTTAAAACCCTCAACTCAAAGTCCACTTAATAGCTTTTTCAAGTTCTACCTATTCCTCCTGCTGAGGAGTGGGCTTTGAGGCTGGAAGTGATTTTATTTGGTCAGTTGACCCAAATTACCAAAGAGAGCACAATTTTTTAACAATAACTGTAATGGTAAGGAGTGCTGCAGGAGTGAGTTCTGAAACTGACTTAGCATTTTAGCGCTTCCTGCTCCCTCACCTCAAAGTCAGTGACAATAAACGTCAGCGTACACTGAGACTTATCTACCTTTACAGCCACGTTGTATTTATACTCACGCTCCTGCAAACTAATCTAACTCAAACTTCCCTACTTGTCGATTTAAATTGCAAGATTTAGTTGAAGTTTAGTGGTAGTTTTACAGCGTAGCGTTAGCTGGTTTTCTTTTGGCATTACATTTACGCTTCAAAAAGCATGAAAGTGGAGATTCTTGTGAGGCTCACAAAATGTAAACATTAAATTATTCCAATGTTACATCTATTCTAAGAAAGTGTCATCCGTACTGAGGAGACCAGACTATGAACAGTGTTCACTGGAACTGCTTTCTACCAAAGAAAGACTTTACCTGTTAAATAATAATTAAACGTTTAGAATTTAGTCTGTAGTTTAATTTAATTTTACTCTCCTTACTACTCCGTACTCTTCTTCTTAAACTGAATCCTAAAGCTAATTTATAACAAATATACAAAATACAGTTCCAGCTGGTAAAAGTTACCTTCTAGTTGCCGGTTTTCCAACTGTAGCTGCCTGTAGTCCAGCGTCCTCCTGCAAAGAAGTCAAAGGTGTTAATCATTTGTGTCCTAATAGCTACGACTGTAAATGTTGTCAGTGTGGCTTCGTAACGATGTCAAAACAAGTCAAATGTTTCTTTTGTCCAACACTGCAAACTCCCCTGTACTTTTAGTACAAATAGTGTAACATGTTAGCGCGTTAACATCTTTCAGGTGACAGTATGACTTTTCCTTAGGCAAAACTTTAATTTTTCATTGTAGAATGTAAGTAAATGAACTCAATTAGTGTGCTTTCATACAAATTTGACATTTACTCGACTACTACATTCCAGAGCAATACATTGTAAACTATTAGTTACTTTACATACTCAACATGTAAAACAAATTCTGAGCTTATTAAATGATGCATCATTACAAATTAAACTACCCATCTTCAACCAGCTACTCACACTTTGGTGCATCAGTAATAATAGTAACAACTATTACTATTACTAACAGTTAGAGTGGCCATTTTCTGCATTATGGTTAGTTTTCATTTTAACATTTCTCAACACTTTTCAGTAGGACTGCAGCTAAGAATTATTTTCATTGTTTTTAATCTGTCAATTATTTTCTTGATTAGTTGTTTGGTCCAAAAAATGTCCAATGTCTTGTCCCCATTCAGTTTACTGTCATAGAGGACTAAAGAAACAGGACGATTTAAACTACTTGATTAAATCATTGCCGCTGTACTTCTCCACCACTGTCCATCTAACCAAAGGTAAATATCCATGTGTACCTTGTGCAGCAGCAGAGGAGATCTCAGTGTTCCCAGACCGATGCTGTCCATTTCAGAGCTGGTTGAGCAGGTTTCCTGAGACAGACAGCAAACATACCATCAGTTAAGACTGACGTCAACAGGCTCAGATGTCACAGAGCACTGACAGTTAACTTTAGATAGCATCTCATTTATACTGTCCTTTTTGTTTTGAGGAAGGTCGAACACTAGACTGACGTATATTTGTTTTCTCTCTGATTTTACTTAATTTAAAGGTGCATCCAATTATTTTTGTGTAGTTCCCCCCAAATTGTTTTGCTAACGCTTTATTTCACAGCTCTGCAATTTCTGAATGATTTCCCAATCCTTTCCTAAAAGTTTCCTTAAATGTTGTTGAAGAAAGGCTCCAATTAAACCGAAGACAATGTTCATTCATTACTCATTTATTATTAGAAACTTCATAAATTTTGAATTGTGCAATTTCCTATAAACAAGAGATTTTTGTGTGTTTAGCTAGCCTGTTACCAATAAACTTGTCCTTCATAGTAAAAATGATGCTGGTTCCGGCCATTTATGACTGATTTCTCCATGCACCTTGCAAGAAGGTGAAGGCTGATAGAAATAATTACTCTGCTGTGGGCTGACTGAAACATTCTCAAACTACAAAAATTGGGTTTCCTTTATTCAAAGTATACTAAATTACAGTCTTTTACAGGAAAGTTCTGTAAAATTATTTTGAAATTACGGACCCATTAAATTGTTCCCCTCATAGCTGAGTTTAACAGCTTCAACAGTGAGCAAGGAGGACATTTCAGGATTTAGTGACATTGTCGTGAACAAAGGCAAAATAGTTGCATTTTTCGGGGCGTAAACCTGCAGCGGCCGCAGTTTCGACTCCGAACTCTTTCCTCACTTTCCTGTCACTATCGATTAAAGGCAATAACAAATATTTCAAAATAATGTTTTATTTGATGCTGTGTTTTATTTTGCTGTTCTACATTAAGCATTTAAAAACTGATGGATTAGAGAAGTTTGTCTAATTTTAAAATAAAAGGATTTTGTAGAAAAAGGTAATTATCATAAACACGAAGTATTTTTTTTATTTATTTATTTATTTATGCTTGTCATTTTGTGTCCTCCATACAGCAAAACTATGACACAGCTGTAATTTACCCTGTGGTCAGCACATTAAATTGGTCTCATTTGCTACTTGGATCACTTTTTGGCAGGAAGAACAGCCACTAATCTCACAGCAGAACCCCTTAAAGTAAAAAGGACCTACCTGTGCCAGTCTTCCCTGCAGCGTGTGCAGGTCAGCAGCCGCCTGTCGCAGCAGGAGGCGCAGTTTGTTGCAGATGACGTGGACCTTCTCCTTGGCCTCGATGCTGTCCTCTGCAGTGGCCTCCAGGAGGAGCTGAGAGGAGATCTCCTGCAGAGAGGAGACCTGCCGCTGGCGGCCGCACAGCTCCTCCTGCAGAGTCTGCAGCAGGGGGCGACAGAGAGCACGGGAGTCAGCACACAGCTGGGACTGAACAGAGGCTGATGTATAGTTCACTAACAGTAGAACAGGTTTAACATGGCAGCTGGAGCAGGCAGGTGCTAAAATAATGCTGATGACAAAGTGCACATTTATATTTGTTCTGTGTTCAACATAGAATAGAAGATGTTTCCCCAGACTTGAGAAGGAAAGATCCCTTTTTAAGAAGTGGATCAAAAGTTTTTATTTTAGAAAGTGAGACAATGCTGGTGAAATTCTGTTGCGTGTTCACAGGTTGGATTAATGTGTGTGTGTGTCCCTGGGAGCAGGGTTATTTAAAGGGGACATAAACAACAAGAATAAAACTGAAACAAGCAAATCCACTCTGTAAAGTACCTGAAAATAAATACTAATAAAAATATATTTCTACTGGTTCTATAAAATGATGATTGTCAAATTAATTATCACAGATGTGTAAACACAACATAATCCAGGCAGCAGGTTTGACTAAAATCTCCGTTATGGTAATGCCAAAATAAAGACTACATTTCCCATAAACCCCGTCACTAGCTGTTGGATAGTCTCATGAACTTCCTCCAGTTCCCCTCAGCTCATTCAGACTCACCGTCAGCGTGTCTCGGTGCTCGAGCAGGACGGAGCGTGGCGCCATCGGCTCGCTAACGTTCACGCCGCGGAGTTTGTTCTCGGCCTGAGCGAGCCACAGCAGCAGGGAGTGCAGCGTCTCATGGAACTCCTGAAGAAGAACACAGAGGGCAAAGGTCATACGAGCATTTTAACAAGTTTCATTTAACAACGCAGCTTTAACTGCAGTGAGGGTCTCCGTGTCTAACCTGACACTGCATGAGCGCCGCGTGCAGCCTCCTCTCCCAGCTCTCCAGGCCGCCGCAGGCCTGCGTCCAGCTGTGATTGGCTGAGGTGAGGGCGTCCTGCAGCTCCCGCAGCTCGGCGCTGTCGCCCCGCAGGAAGTGACGGCTGCTCAGGTTGACGGAGATCATCAGACACTTGTAGCTGTTGAAGGTCTTCTGCATCTCCTGGACCAAAGAGAGGGAACAGATATGATGTGTTAATGGACACAGTGAGTGGACAGTTTCACCGCCTGTAACAGGTCTTTACTAATTCTCATACCTCACTGCTGCCCCAGTATTAAATAAATAACTGGTAACTTTAGTTTATAAATGTCTGACATTTGGCAGCCACATTCAGGGTATTTAATTTGCTTTCAGTATCTGCTGATAGTCTGATCTCACCATGTGGTTTCAACCTTTTGACCTCAACAAAATACTGAAAATGATATAAATACACACAGTTGAGAGGAAGATTCAGCTCCTCCTTCAAAATCCCTGGAAGCCTTTCAGATACAGCACTGATTGGTTTTTATTCTGATCACACTGAACTCGATTTAACCTTTAGTTGCTCTACTAGGCACCAAACCTTCTGGCAGGTGATTCAGTCGTATAAAAAGCAACTTTTCCTGATTCTTTTTTTAAAGTAAAACGTGTACTGTTGCTACATGACCAGTCAGGAAAGTGCTCAAGTAACCAAAGAACCAACAGTAAAACGCTAGAATTGGACAATATAGCACCCATATGTAGCATTTGGCATTACAGAGTTTTGTAATAGATTATTTTATGTGAAATATTTTGTCTACGTCCAGTTCATATTACATATATGTAGAATTTTTACAACACAGTATGTCTATTACAATCCTTTTGTGAAACACCCTGATGAAGTTTAAGTAGATTTGGAGTATTTGTGGATGTAACCAGCTCTCGGAGATGTCGTCGTTGTTTTACCTTTAGTTTCCTGATGTTGACTTCGATGTCTCGGATGCTGGTGGACGGTGTGATCCGCTGCAGCCTCTCGAGGTCTGGCAGCACCCTGCCCAACCAGGAAGTGACATCGCAGAGGTCGGCGTTCAGCTTCTGCCACTGCTCCAAGTCCTGCTTGATGTCCGTCTCGTGGTTGAACTTTTGGACTTGCAGCAACTCCCAGCGCTCAATCACACCTGCAGAGAGACGAGACGGAGTTATGGAACGCTCTACTGAATGCAGCCTCTACGCTGGTTGTCTCTTTAAACATATTAGCAGGATTACTCATTGAAACTGAATTTATTTCACGATCCATAAACCAGGATTTAGTGTGCATGGTAAACCTTTTCTACAGCTGATAATGTAACTGTGGGTGTTATTAAATGTGCTAAATTCAGCATTTTAACATCGAATAAACCATGACCACCAGGAGGCATTTGTGTGAATACTGGAACAAACGAGGCTCACAGAGATGAATATCAGCCTCTATATGATGTTTCTACATCAGTGTTGATACAATAAGTCGACAGAAAATGAAATGACAGTTCTAACAGTTGACAGAAATATTTTTCTCAGTTTTATATAATTAAATGAAATTTCTTTGTATTTTTGGACTGTTGGTTGAATAAAACAAACTATTCAAACATTTCCGGGAACTTGATATCGGATAATGTCAAAAAGAGTAAGAAAGACTGTTTTGACGTGTTTTGTTTCTGTCCAATTTGAATGAAGTTACGATGATCTGAGTTTGAAGACGAGTTTTTCTTAGCTATTATTGCCAAAGGGGACTTCATACAAAGTCTGATAATATAATTATGGGTATCTGAGTGTATTCCGACTGATCATCCATCCATTTTTTTGGGCTCCAGAGGAGCAGCGGGTCGTCCCCAACAGGAAGGTTGTTGTTCGATCCGGCTCCTCTGCCACGTGTCGAAGGTGAATCCTGTGAGCAATGAAATACTGATGTACCCCAAATTTGATACACACGAATTTTGTAGCTTATTTTCGTGTTGTGGGTAGCTGAGTCTGTGCACGGAGGTAGAATGCTGGCACGTAAGTGTAAAGCGCTTTGGGGAGATTTTGTGGTCGTGATAAAGACTTTTAGAAAGGCGCTTTATTCTTAGGTAGCATTTAATTTTTAGTCTTTGTAGACACAAGTTGTTATCCTATTAAGCACACCAATTAGTTGTGTCTATATAAAGGAGAAATGTGTTTAATGATGTACTTTATAACTGAAAATATGATATTATTGTAGTTTTGTCATACCCCAAGGGATTCCAGAATTGTGTACCAATACATTATGAGTTAGTTAACAGTACTGTTTATGGTTCTAGCTGATTTTCCCTAAGTGACCCAACCTGTGGCAAACCTTTAATTTTTTTTTTATATTTTTTTTTTAAATATCCCTGTATCCCCCTCTAGCAAAATCAAATCTGTCCTTCTTTTCTTCTCTGTATTCATTGTGGTTGTTGGAGAGAGATTTGATTTGTCTCCTGAGGGTA